GGTCATTTGGTATTACAAAGTGTAGCTGCATTGTTGAACTCATGTAATTCCCTGAACCACGAGCCAATTCTTTTATATCTTTTTTCATACACTTCATTGTTTATGTATTGGCTATTGCTACTATACGTTTTCCTTGCATCTTGATCATTCTGACATTAAAAGAATAGGAATGATGATGTGTCTTAGACATCGCTGATTATACCGTAAGAAGATGGGAGAGTTGGCTAGCTCTCTTGTTTGTTTGTCCCTCCCAATCTCATCTCAGATTTGGTTTGATTTGAAATTGGAAAAGAAAACACATTATTGTTAGATTGTTAGGATTGCACAACTGCTTAATTTTTGTGGTGGGATCCATTATTTGTTACTTTTCATATACTATTTGGCTAATTTCATAATTATTCCATATTGATTATGCTTGGTTATACAAAGCGGTAAAAAAATCAAAACAGAAAATATATAAATGGTGGTACCACACTATAAATATATCCCACCACAAAAGCCAAAATGCTCATGCAGGTGAGACACAGGCCGGTCGTTGGTAAGATGGTATTCTCAGTTGTGCTAGCGAGCAGGTCGTCCATCCTGGATCATCTTTTACCATCAGCCATGCAAAAATTTGTTGATGCTATTGAGGTAAAACCTTGACCAACTTCTTGTTTCTTTGGCATTGGTTCATCAGAAAGCAAGGAAAGCAGGTGTACATGAGGTTGTGAAAGTGGAAGAGAGAATCAAGAGAGTGGTGATGGCTTCAAACAGAGCAGCCAGTGTCGCTAGAGTTGCAGCCGTGAAGGCTGGCCAATCACAAACCTTGCGCAGTAGTGGCGGCGATCTTGGAACCGAATGTTGATATAAGAGATCTTGAGTTGGAGCAAGACAGGTTAAGTTATTTTTTTTTCCTTCATGAGCAAGGCTAGTTTCAGACTGTAGATATTAGAACCAGTAACCAAAAGATAACTTTGTAAATCAACAAAACATTTGGTACTCTTCAAGGAACATGTAGCCAGAATCCCCTACTTCATTAAACAATTAGAAATATGATCAATCGGTCTTCTAAGAGAAGATAACAAATGTCGAATCTGGTCTTCAAAATTGTGGGTCAAAAAATTATGAGTTGAACTCTAGCTATCAGTTTGCTCTCTCAGCCTCCTAATGGTACTCCTCACAGAAACAGCACTACCGTACTGCGAGAATGACACAATACCAGACCATAAGATGTAGTAAATTGGGGAATGCAATGTCAAATGAAATGTTAAGAAGATGTTATTACTTCCTAGTGTAAGCACCTCCAGCCTTCACTTTCCACCACAGTCCTCACATCCCCAAATTCCAACGGTCTTCCTCTTTAACAGCATACTGCATTAGAAAATGCACTAGATATCAACAAGCCTCCCTCATACATAACTTTATCCGAAGCAAGAGTATAAAAACATCTTGAGAAAATGAATGATTCAGAAGAAGTGTTTTCGGTGGAATCCAACAAATTGATTACGAATCTTTCCTAACCAACTCCAATCTAAGCAATGTATCTAAACCAATAGCAAAATTTGCTGGACATTGAACACATGTAGAGATCAAAATGTACCCATTGTTACCTTACCGTTGGCTTACGGTTTATAACTGGGACCACTATTTCTATCCACTTTCCTTACATGGCATAAAGTTTTTGGTTGGATTAAGAATATAATTTAGGGTGAATTTCCTAACTAACCAAAAAAAAATATATAATTAGTGTAATAGCCATGTAATAAATATAATTAGGAACGAAACAACTAACATACTATAGATATGAAGAAACTAACAACTAACATAGAACAGACATATTTTTATCCATACTATATTACATAACATATAATTTAAATGCAAAAATAGAGAAAATGAGAGTTTGAAGT